CTTGGGTTTAATGCTTGCTTCTACTTTGTCTTTTGAGAAACATTACAAAAAAATCAAAACAAAATCTACTACTTTGATTAACAATTTAGTCAAATTATTTGCGAAATTAAAAATTCGTAACATTAAAGTTCAATTTAGATTGTTTTCTTCCATTATTCTAAATGCTTTTGGATACGCTGCTCCTATTTGGAGCTTATTCTATTTTAAAAATCTACAAATAATTCAAAACAAATTTGTGCGTAAAAGTTTTTTCTCTAGATTATAATGTTTCTGGTGCGGTGCTTCATCTTGAATTGAACAGATTTAAATTGGGTCCGTTTTTTATTAAAGGATATATTAAATTTCTTAGCCGATTGAGAGACAATGAGAAGGTTCCAGCTCTTCTATTGAGAATACTATATCAAAAATCTTTCAACGATAAGTCAAGAAAAAATTGGATCTATCAATTATCAACTTTGTTTAATATGTTCGGTTTCTCGATAGTTCCGTTCATATATAAATCTGATTTGTGTGAAATATATAGTACTCAATTAAGAATGCTTTTGAGATATTTTTAACTCAAGATATTTATGATGTAAGGTACCGTATTAACTCTGCTTATTATAATATAATTTTAGATTATCCAAACGTTAACGACTATATGGGCTCTGATTTATCCTTCAATGTTAAAAAATTCTTTATCCAATTGAGACTAAATAGAGAGATTATATTGATTAATAATAATATTTATCAATTTTCTAAACTATTCTGTATAAGTTGTGACGTTGCCATGTCTAAATTTCATCTATTTTGCACTTGTAATAAAGCTCAAGAGTTACGTAAACGATATAATCTTGAAACTTTAATCTCCAAAAATAATGAAAATTCTATGTATCTTTTCTTCCACAGAGCTAATATGAATACTGTGAGGTCAGCCGATTAGGGGTGAGGTGTTTTCGACAGCCGAGCGGTCAATACTGTCGTGTGGGCGCGGAATGACTCACCGAGACAGGTTTACCATATAAAACCGTTTAATAATATACATAAATCGTTCTTACAACAATCCAATAAGTCGGGCAAGAGCCTATCCAACGCAGTGCCGGCCCGAGGCAAGTTTTAAGATGGAGCGAGATCCTATTATGGCGCCCCCTTGGTTGCCCCTAATTTATACCCTTTAATTTTCTTTACCACTGAGGCGCCCACTGGGATTTAGCGCCTGGAGCGGCTGCTCCGTTCGCCCTATGGTAGGGCCGGCTCTGATCCAACGATGGGTTTCTGTAACAGTTCCCACAAATCGGAAAGTTCGAATGTTCGATCGGTCCCTGGGGGAGCTTTCGGCACTGTGGACGCTGATAACGATGAACCCGGTGCACGCACCAGCACTTGTAGTGATGTCCTCGGTTGACAAGTCGAACCTCGGCGATTCTGGACGTGACCTCGGCGATTCTAGAGTGGACGGGTTGGCGAAACCAGTTCCTAGGTCGTCGAAAGAGCCTTCGTTGTGTCTCGGTCGGGAGCACCAAATCCCGACAGGTGAGCACTACACACCAAAACCCAAGACCCCGTAAAGTTCCCGAAAACGCGGTTTTATCGATTTTTTCACTGCGGTCGCCTCTCCATTGTTCTCTCCTCGTCACATGGTGACAATTCGAAACCCCAGGGGCCTTAGTCTCGAGTTTTTCGTGTTACAACTCCCAACGTGTTGAAGGTGTCACGTGGTACCATCTCACACACTGACGTCAAATTGGTAGTCTCGAGTTCTAACTCACGTGCTTTCCCATCTCACCATGCGAGTTGCTACTCACGTTGAGTCGAGCATGTGAGATCGCTACACGAAAGT